AGGAACGAGAACCATCAACTCCAGATGTGTAACAAGGTTAAGACGAGTCAATATCGCCTAATTGCATTGTCGTGATGGGAGGCCAGGCTTTTATTGACTTGAAAGATGTGAAAGGAAAGTGGTTTTGTTTTGAATTTCACACATCACAGGGGAAAGTTCTCACTCAGCAGACTTCTGCAGCTTTCCCCACCATTTCTGGGGCATCCAAGCAATCTGATATCGCATCAGAAAACCTTGCGAGAGCCGTTTCGGCAGCTCATGGTGGAATTTATATCCTAGCGCAAAGCATTAAATATTACACAAATTGCTTATGTAAATGACACCGAACACCTGACGGAGTGATGTTGCGCCGTCGTTTCATCACATCTGAGAGGTGAGTGTACAGGCAAGTGCTGCTCATTAACGGGCTACGTTAATTACCATATTTTAGTGTTTACAATCTTGTAAAAGTGGAGCTCTGAATTTTTCATCAGATTATTCCTGCAATGTTCATTAAGGAGGAAGCACTTAGAACTGTGAATCCACTCACTGACACTAAATAGTAAATAATTGGGCAAGTGTGCATGTGTCTTAGACTAATAAGCTCCCACCACAATACCTTTGTGCCTATGTATTTTTTTTTTTCTCTTCCTTTCTCAGAGCACAGCTACTTGTCTATTTGATAAATATTGCTGCTATACCTTCCTTGCAGGACGGCCCTCCGTATGCGGAGTGTGTGCAGTCACACACATAGCCGGTGCTCTTCTCCACACACCGGCCCCGGTTGTGACAGACACCCGCAGAGCTGCTGCAGTGACCCGCACAGCCCGAGCTCACCCCCGGGGTCGCCTTGGCTCGCTCGTCCAGGTCAAAGGTCACGCCATTTACATTAAGCGCTCGCATGCATCCCAGAAAGCCTCTCTGTCTAGAGGCTGTTCCTCCTACAACAAAGAAAACAACATGGTATATCAGATTCACTCTCACAGACGCCTTTATATATAAAAAAAAAACACTGCAGGTGATCATTTAAGACTGACTTTGTAGACTTCATAGACATACACTGCTAACGAATGTCATCTTATCAAGTGCAAATACTGTGAATATAGGCACAGTTATCTAGTATTTCCTATTTTAAGATTAGAATAAACCAAATACAAGATTATTAAACCTATTTCAAGCCATTTGTACTCACTTTGAGCTTGAAATAATCTTGTTCAGATAATTGCCAGATAATTTTACTCTTTTTAAGCATTTATTTCTAAAAAGAAATTTTTTTACATGACCTTCATGACCACCAGCTCTGTGAGAGCAGAGAGAATGCAAAACAATTTGCAGTAGACTGAAGACCGAGAGCCACATCGTTTTACCAAAGGCATCACACCAGGCCTTTCTCTTTTCTTCATAAGAATAATGCGGCGTTAGGTCATCAGTAGTGTATTAAGCTTTGCGTATGGCGTCCTTCCGTCTACCTAAGGTTACCACGATTAAAAATCCGGCCTAATGTTTCAGAGTGAAGTAAAAACAACAGACGCAGGGATGCAAATCAAATCATTCTCAACCACCTCGTACTGTGTATGTGAAACATCCATCTTGAAGCTAAACAACCAGCACAGTCTTATCCTTTTGTCTGAAGATCGAAGAGTTAAGACCTGTTTTCTCCTTGATTTAAATGTTCTTATATTATTCTAACAAATGTATTCTAACAATATATAACAGGTTTTTTAATAATACCTAGCTGCTAAGCTTCAGATGGCTTTAGAAATGGATTATTATATGGAATGTCTTACAAAAGTACATAAAGCCCAAGCCAAAAAAAAAACCCCCAAAACTAATATGTTATATGAATAATAGTGCTTCACGTTGAACAATAAAAGCATCCAGCTCCTGAAAAATACGCCTCCTCTCTCTGCCTCTCTGGGCCATTTTTAGGTCTCCAGTCGGCTTACCCACGAAGAGCTGGTTGTTGAGTTGCAGGCGTATGTGTGTGTGTGCTGGAGGCTCCAGGAAGCGCAGAGGCAGCTGGTCCACCTGCAGCGACGCCTCCTTTACATTCCTCTCAGCCCGGACCCAGTGCCACTGGCGGTCGTTCAACGGCACCGGAGATTTAACGTTTAGCACAGTCGGCCCGTATCCGGCGTCGAACGAGAAGGTAGCGACTGAAGGAGCTGAGGGAGAAAACGTGGATTCATACAGATTCACTTCAGCACTTGGAGGGTCATCTTTATCTCCATTATTAGTAACATAAACAGTGTTAAAGAAAATAAACACACAGGGAAAAAAAATAAAAAATTACATCCCTGCAGATGGTGCGAGTCTGCACATGAGGTGGGAGTGTAAACAGGAAATGTGACTAAAATCGATTTCTGAGTAATTGCTACTACAGTGCTTTTACATCACCTTGTTAAGTCCAAATAACACCATGGATGTAAGCAGAAGTAATCAGGATGTAACTGAATACATTATTTCGATGATACAGAACTAATGATGTATACTAAACAAATACAAATACGGATATACGTAGGAGGTGCACTGTTGTTTAATTTGATGTAATTATTTGAATAGAAAGCTTCAAGCCCTGTGGGACGCAACAAGTCACTCATGTGAGAAGCTCGTGGGACAAAAAAAAAAGGCCACGTTCATTAATGTGAACGTGAGCACTCATTCATTCATTGTTAGTAACTGCCTGTTCAGAGTCATGGGGGTTTAAATTAGGCTAAATTGGGAAAATACAGCCAACTTAACCTTCAAAAGACACCATCGTCTTCAGTAGAAAATACTGTGGGCCAAAATAATAGCTGCCCGATTCCCGTGCTCGTGTGATGTAGCTGTGAATAGTAATGTAGCTGAGGTTGAGGAACTGTCAGAGGCAGAATTCATACACCATGCTGACAGTGCTGGCATTTCTACCTCTGTATTTTTTTTTTTTCTTCTCCTGATGTTTCCGGGGATTGACTGGTAGGGTTTATATTTATTTATTTATTTATTTTTAAATGACATGTCGTCTTTCGGATTTAAACCCAAATACAGATATGGAATAGTAGGTCATGCTGGACAGGATAACTGCTGACGCCCTGCACTGTAAACTAGAGAGTCTGCAGATAGACTTTTTAGAGAAAGATGTCCGTCCAGCTAGGAACTGAAACGCCAGCACCAAATCGGAGTTTCTAACACATACTTTCACTGTCTTTTATTGCATACTGACTGACTTTCTAAAATCCACACCTTGAAGAGAATGTTTTGGAGATGGATTTGCAGATCCGGGCATGATATCTACCTAAGTGCTGGCAAAACCGATAACACGGCTGTCTAAATTAGAGGACACTCTGAAAGTGCATTAGTGGATTTGTAGCGCTGATAAAATAACGCTCCTGTTTATCTTGATATCATTCCACTCCGTGTTTACTGTGCGTTTCGGGTTTTCTCTGCCTTATCAAACGCGAATCGCTTCCTCGGCTGATTTTATCAAGTTGAATCAGGTGTCTTATAGACAGAGAGGCACGCTAAAGCCCATGCAAACTGATATGTATGCATGTTGAGAGGTATTATACTGTAGAGCTGCTTGATTAAGTGTATTATGCATTGCTGATGAATGTGCAACGGGCGGATTAAAAAGGCAGGCTGATGAGACACTCACAGCTCAGCTCTACTCTGATGAAGTCTCGCGAGCCCACGTTTTCAACAAAGACTCCCGAGGGCGAGCCGGTCTTGAAGTAGAAGGAGACGTCGAAGGAGAGCTCCATTTGAGAGGCAGGGAAGAGCAGGTACGATGCCTCGTCGTAAAAAGACGCTGCGTTCCAGAGAGACTCTGACAGAAAGAATAGGGATTCTCAGAAGATTTGCGTCTTTGATTCACAGCTGGATTTAATTAGGCGCAGAAGATTCGATGTCTAATCCACAGGCTTACGCTTTAAAAAGCGGAAAGAAGATCACCTACTGTCACCAGAGCATTGCAGGGGTCCAACACTGAAGACTGCCTCAGATCTCACTCGGTTTGTATCTCCGATTACTATTCCGCTCACTGGTAAGTCGTCCTTATAGGACAGGAGCCCGGTATCGTTTTCCCTGTAAGCAGTGACGGTATGTTTTATGAGGCCCCAGTTGCCTGTCTAGTTGTTTGTGAAACAACTCCACAAGCAAACGTATTGGTACAATAACATTAACACACGTTATCATGCACTGTTTGCTTGGTTACCATGATTCTCGGTCAGCATCGCAATTGCAGAAGAAGTTCATGTCGATGCAGTTCTCCTCCAGACTGCAGGCGCAATGCTGAACACCAGGCAGTAAACCTCCCCAATACGTCCTTCTCTCACCACCACGTTCCAGCCACCAGGACAAGGGAGCGCCATCTATACACACACACACACACACACACACACACACACGTTAACCCTCCAAAAAATGGCAATGAACTGTTCGGATCCAAAAGAATTGTCTCCTATTAGTGAGCTGAGCCAAATGATCTGACTCACTCAAGCATTATAACATTTAAACATTTCAGGAGATTATTGTAATTGCAATTGCAATTATAACAATGTGTAATTCCTTCCCCCTGCTGGTTCCTTTCACTTTATTATTCACATCTGCAGTAAAATTTCAGTGACAACACTTTTTTTGGATCACTCCGCGTTCCCCTTTTCGTTGGTGAAGCTCACTTAGCCACTTATACATGAAGAAGAACAGCTGTGGATCGATTTCCTGTCCCAAGCTCAAGTTTAGATATTTAAGTTCCTTGCCAAAACAGATTTGTCTTTCTGTACAACAAACTAAGGAAAGACAGTGATGTTATTTTGAATATTTTCATCTAGGAAACTGGCTCCCAAAACAGCCATCTGACATTTCCTACACTTTTGAATGGGACTACAGTCTATAATACATTGCTGCTCCTCTTTCAGCTGCTCCCGTAGGGGTCGCCACAGCAGATCATTGGTCCATGTATTTGATAAGGCACAGTTTTTTTTCCACCGGATGCCCTTCCTGACACAACCCTCCCCAATTTTATCCGGGCCACTGGGGTAGGTTCTCTGGCCGGGAATCGAACCCAGACTGCAGCGTTGAGAGCACTCTAGCCTAACCACTAGTCCTATAGTCTGTAATATATAGTTTTTAAAGTGCTGTTTTAGGTTTATGCTATTTTGTTTGAAACTACTGTACATTTAATGTCCATCATTACTTTCAACTCGGCCATTTGCAGTAAGTGAACTGAACCATGTGTTGGCTCCTGAGTGGTGCAGCAGAAAAGTGCTCACCTTATTGTCCAGAGCTCACAAGTTCAAATCCCAGCAATGTGTGGCTGAGAGTCCAAGAGAGCGAAATTAAGCAAGCTCTGTAGGTGTTGGGGAAGGAACATGACTCTCTCTCCCATTTCAATCAAAGCGAAACTAACCAATTACCGCATCTCTGAGCTCACGTATGCGGAAGAAGGCAGATAACATTTTCCTCCGAGTGTGGTGCGGGCAGCAGTTTGAAAAGATGCCTTTGGTTGACTTGACGTGTTCTCTGACAAACACGTTAGCTTTCACCTTTCCCAGTTAGCAGCTGTCTTATTTTATGATAGGGCACATTTGACTGTTGGGGGGGTGGGGGTTTGGTTCGGTCGGTGGAATAGAACATGCGTAAAGAACGTTTTTACTGCTGTTTATCTTATCAAAATATGCAAAATTCGTTTTGCATCCATCCAATGATAAATCCAGTTTTTCTTGATGCCCCACTTCTGTCACAATTTTAGATTTCAACTTGACTGGAAAGATTACTGAAAGAGTTGGCTATAGTGAGGTGTCATTGGTGAATGAGTCGACTCTTTGAATCAGATCTTTTAGGAGAATGTTGAGAGCTGATTAGCCTTTTTTTTTTTTTTTGGACAGATGTAAGCAATACTGTTGCTCTTGCAGTGCAATTTAATTAAAATGCTTCCACTAAATGCTCTTTACAACATCTGGATCATTAGCATGAATCATGAGGCATGGGTTTGACTCTCAGCTGTGTGCATGAATGACGGGGAGGATTATTTTGTCACTCAGAAGCTAGACTAAGCTCTCATGAAACAATTTCAGCCATAGTTAAGCAAATAAGAATAATCACTGGCTGCAATATCACTTTTTCCGGTTAATAATATAAACGTTGTTCAGTTTAGAGAAACGGCACTGAGCTGTTTGCAAGTCAAAGGAATCGTCTCTTGTTGTTGAGCTAAGCCAATAATCAAACTAAATGGCGTATAGGTGTTTGTGGACCAGCCCTGCAAATAATGTACGTATATATAATATTTAAAGTGAGTAGGAATGGAGTAGACATCTGGGAAGACAAAAATATCTAGTGCTTTGATAGATTTAATGATTTTAACATTTAAACATTTCAGGTGATTACTGCGATACAGTAACTACAGTGCTGGCCCTAATTCCTTGCACTACAGATGTCCTGGAATACATAAATCTCGCACCGTTCCTATCACCTTCAACACGGAGGGTTTTTGAATGCTTAGCTACTAAAATGAGGTCATCGTTGACTGAGATGGAGATCAAAGTGACTCGGTTCTGGCTCTTGCGCCGCGTCTCCTCCTCAGCAACTGCCTGTGCCTGCTCTAAAACACTCATCCACAGCCTGTTATTTTTTTTATTTATTTATTTTTTTAAACCTCTGTAAAACGTTCTGCTCTCTTCTCATGATTGCTGCAGAAGACTTTTAACGTTTCTTTTAACTTCTGAATGACTGAATTATGCACTTGACACACAAGCTACACAACCAAAAGTTGCTCTCAAATAGTTATCTCTCAATTTTTCTTTTTTTTTTTAAATTTCATAACTCTAAACCATATTTTATTAAAGATAAAGGGATGCAGATTGAGTTAGTCTGTAGAGAACACACGGACAAGTTCAGCGTTCACAATATGCCTTAAACATGATAAGGTCTTAATTTCTTTGAGGATAAAGTTTGCACGCTGCAGATGTGCAGGAACCGGGCAACAGTGATTGATGTCTATAATAATGGGATACTTTTAAGGCTCCATATCCAAAAGTATGTAATAAAGTGCAGTAATCGTGACATGCTCCAATAAATCTTTGACTTCGGCTTCATTAGTGTCAAGCGGAATTTCATCAGGGCTGTAATTATTGGGTGTCTGGGATAAAAGCCAGATTAGAAATCAAAGAAGGACGCAGCTCTATGAATATCCTGTAATGAAGGCGCTCCAAGATGTTTGTGCTTTGTTTCAGACGGAATTCCAAATGAGCACGGATAAACAGTTTTATTCGTTTGGACATTGTTTCTGGTGGAGTTAATAAAAAATAAATAAAAATCAACTCGGGCAAACAAATGTAGTTAACTTCACCCATACGGGGGGAAAAAAAACAACTAAAAAGAGATTTCTGTAGTTTGTCCTAGACAGCAAAGAGATCAGATGGAAATAAAAGGCAGACGTCTGCTTAAATCTCCTGTCTCTCCTCCAGTCATCGCAGATACACCTGCATACACATGCTGCATATACACACTGTTGTCACGTCTGCCGAGCTCACTATGTGGCATGAAGTTCATTTTAATAAGTTTACAACAAGCGCACTGACGAATATTTTCGAGAGATGTACAGTTTACTTTTGATATGCTATCACGTCTGTCAGATGTTTGAAGATGTGTCGTTCTGACGCACTGACACGTGGAGAAAAGTACACTACTCTGCTTTTTATATGCTAGCATTTTGTGAGTATTTTCGAAAAGAAGTGCGCTAGGTTCCAAATATTCCATACTCAAAGTATTATTTTAGTTGTAGATGTTGTAAAACAGGTATAAAAAGTGTTTAATAGGGGTGGAAGTGAGCTAGGTCGAAACGGTTACTGCAGTAGAGCCGGTGACATCATCAGCAGGCATGGCAAATGATCATGTTCAGGAATATAGCGTTTGGCTTAAAATATGAAAGCTGGTCAGATGGTGAGCCAATGTTACCAGAAGCACCTTTAATGGGAATTTACAAATCAAAGTGAGGAATTTTATGAATTTTAGGAGTAGCATTTGTAATAAATAAATAAATAAATGAATAGCAACGGAATTTTAATCTGGGCACGTCTAAACTGGACTGCGATTGCTATTAAAGGTTGACGCTGAGTGAGGAAATAAAAAGAAATTTTACAAAAACAACATAACATAAAACAGCACAGTCCATGGTTAAAGCAAATGCAGGGATAAAAGCTGCCCTGAAGGTAAGAAATTCCAGAAATTCCAGAAATTCAGTCTTCAATGATCTCAGCAGGTCACCGCTGCAAAAACGTGAAAAAGTCTTGCATATAGGCAAATGTATCTAGTAAGATTGCAATCAACTCATTCTTTCTATTGCTAGAAAAAAAAAAAAGCAAATTCACCTGCCAAAAGAATGAGAACGTTTAAAGCATTCGAGTAACAGCATCTAAAAACAAGCTGGAAAATCTCCCAGTATTCAAGATAAAGAGCAGACTGTCTTTTATACATGGCGGCACTTTCATTTTTATCAAAAAACAAGGGATTGTCTAAAGGTGTGTGTGAGAGAGAGAGAGAGAGAGAGAGAGAGAGAGAGAGAGAGAGAGCATGGCTCTTTTCATCCACTCCTGCAGCCATTAACTTATTCTACTCATTAGGTGTATGATCACTTCTTATACACACATCCATCACATAGCGGAACCAGGAAGTAAGTTACATCTGTACTGATAGAAATTAAGTTATAAGCTGCAGAACACAAGAACAAAATGAACCGATCTTCTCTAGAGATCAGTGTGTAGTGCAAGTTCTGTACCGCGAAGACTTTATTAAAAACTAAAAAATAAAGAAATAAAATAAATCACCATCGTACAACACGGGCAGAGATTGTGTAAGAGAGTGATAAATGGAGAGAGAGAGAGAGAGAGAATGAGGGATGGTTTATGTGGTGTTACAGAACAATGTGACTAATTATGTTTTCTTTCAAGCTCGCTGAACCAGGAGACAACAAAAAGAGAACATTCCCTTTAATGGCAGCAGAATAACAATCTTATTATCTGCCGTGACACCATACCTGCCTTGGAGGAACTAAGCCACGTTTTTTTTTTTTTTTCTTCTTTTTTTTTTCCAATAAATCACAACCGTATGCATATTGCTCCCATAATGCATTATGTTTTTCAACAGGCGTGTTTTAGTCCTGGGGGAAGTGCGTGCAAACTTTGTTTAAAGGACAAGACGGATGAAAGGCTGAGGAGAAATAACCGTCAGCTATCAGCTAGTCACAATTCTACGGGGTTTGATTAGCATATGTCATCATCGTTTTCCATACGGGGTTTAGAGCTGGTTGCCGCCGTCGCAGTACTGCTTTTCTAGCGCTAGCAATATCCCTGGCCCATTCTCTACAAAACACTACCAGTCATTAGCTAGTGAGAATTAGCTGATTTGGACCAGTGGATTTTATTTGCTACCATTTTCCATTTAGTACCAGCAATATTAGCACTTTATATTGAGGAATTTGCTCAATAATAACAACAACAACAAAAAAAAAGTGTAATTCACCTCTCCTCCGGTCCTGGGGACTCTCAGAAGTGCACACGCTATGCTTTAGTAACGACTAATCGGGGCTTTTATGATTAGCTGACCAACCGAGGTGTATTTCCCCAAAGCTTCATAAACACAAAGATCGACGTAAAACGGTTGAGCGAGTACCACTTTCGGCACACTCTCTAAGAGTCAAGATGATCCGTACACTATGGTGCTTCTGGGAAATTATTCCTTCATGGCGATTTTCTGCTTGGCGAAAGCAAATAGTCTAGTCCTTTCGTGACTAACAGTAATAAAACCCCGAATTAAAATTTGTGAGAAGGGATTATAGAGTTAAGGTTACACAAGGTTACACAGGGAAGCTGGATTCACTGGTTAACTGGTTCATTAGTCTGAACCGAAGCCAGTCTACGCTGAACAAACAAACCGAACTCACCCCATGTGTTGAAGAGTCGAGATCTCCTGCACCGATAGGTCAGTGCCTGTTGGCAGTATTCCGACTGCGACACGAGGGCTCGGAGCTGATCCGGCGAGGCACCGTAGTCAAAGTGCGCTTTGTGGGGTTTCTCTGGTGTCGATCCCTGGACTCTGACGGGATCAGTGCTGTTG